AATGTGCAGTATTTGAAAACCTGACGGGAATTCGTCGCCCGTAGCATGTCTTGCCAGATGGAATATTCAGTTCATCAAAGGCCTCTAACCGTACGCCGAATCACGCTAAAACCGTTTCACGATAGTGATTGTTCTCATATTGCTCACTTTGAAGCAGCAAATATAGGAAAACTTATCATTCCATTGATTCATTGAATTGATATCCACCAAACGATGCAAAGTGAAAACTTAAAGAACACTGGAGATTCTATTCACCTTCCAGTAAAAAATGACCTTGTTTAAACCCCCTTTTTTTATCTCCATCCAGGTCTGAGTTTCGTGATTGCGAAGTGACTAGAGATTGTGCACAGATATCGAATTGTTTCTCTCTCTCGCTCTTGATTGTCAGTCCCCCGATAGCCGTTTATCTATACCTTTTGATAAACCCCTCCTCCCCGTCCCAGATGACGCCTTCTTGCTCAGCTTCCTTCGGTACGCTCACTATGAGCACGCACTGGCTCAACGACGACTGGATAATTTTTGTACAATGCGATGCTCCGACAAAGTGTGCAGTCAGTGGTACAACTATCCGTCACTGTCACATCCCGTTGTGGACACGTACCTTAAGGCGGGGTGAGTTCAATGCCGGTATGCCTCTCGTCACCACTGCTCAATCGGACAGTGTGTGTGTGTGTATGTGTTAACCTCTTATGTGCCCACCACTGAAACGATAAAGTTGCGAAGAGATAAAATATATGTGTGGTTTCACATTCGCCGTTTAACCTATGTTTTCAAAAGACAATTTACTCAGAACTGATGGAAAAATGATATTTATAGGTTCATTACCCCAAAATGTGTAAGAATCAAAACTTCTTTCTCGTTGTCTGATTGTTCTGTCATTATTTTAAAGCATTTAATTACTAAGTCAAACACGAATATGGTTTCGAAATTCTGGACACACTTTACACTTTCCGTACTATTGCGTAATAGGATGGAGAATGGATGACGAGAAATCAGTTTATGGGTCTGGGAATACTTTAGCGGGAAGAACTTTTTTCTGTCTGTGTCTTTTAGACCTGCTTTATTAGTGTGATTATTATTCTTGCTATAAGCATTGGCATTATCATCCGAGTCAACAGCATTCGGGTCATCATCATCATCATCATCATCAACAACAACAACAACAACAAAAATAACAACAACAACATGATCATTATTATCATCGCCATGAAGCCAAGTTCAGTGAGGCGAATTTCACCTGTTTGAGTCAGGTCCATGTTGAGTGAGTCTATTTGGACGACGAAGAGAAGAAACCAAACTTCTATGATTAACACATGTAGTACTTAGTCTAAACGTGATCACACACATTGTCAACCATTCCGACCTTGGAAGATATCTTAAAAAGAACAACACTAATGTAGGCTTATTGTCATCTCCTTTAGTGTTCCCGATCGGCCAGAGAGAGAGAGAGTTTTCCAGAATCTATCCAAGAAGAAGGGAGATATCTACTGTACGCTCTCTGGGCGTTAGTGTTCCGGTGGTAACGTCACCAAAATGTATCACCCCGGAGGACTTGTGTTCGGATCTCACCACCACCGCCTGATTTTCCCCTTTGTATTGTTGCATGGCAACCCTTTGATTGGTCGCTTCCCTCTCCTGAAAATGGTATCATTATGCCTTCCATCCAAGAAACTAAAAATGAGAAAAGGAAAAAGTAATACTCAATTTTCCATGCACTTTATCCTGCCTTGTTTCCCGGTTATTTGTGGATGTGACGTTCTTCTATCAGAAAACGACATCTGCACACTAGGGGTAGTGTGATAGAACACTGCTGAATAGGTACATCCAGGTAGACGACGACAACGATGAAGACTGAACTTGGTGTTGCTAACCCGTTCGAGTTCATCCGACGTGGGTCAAACAACGTCAACTTGGATGGCCGAAAACCTCCAGTGTGTAGCTATTCTCCATATTGAAACAAAGGGTCTCAAAATTTTATAACAGAATGGTTCACGCATTGGCTTAAAAACACCGGAGCATTTAATATCTATGTATTCATCTTCCTAGTAGTGATAGTGGAATTCATCATGCAAATGGTGTCACACAGTTATCCCTTGTAGTCGTATTCCGATCATCGGATTTCAAAGTAAGTTTAATTGCCCTTGGAGTTTTTGAGCTTCACTTTACTCACATCAAACTGTACTTATATTGTTGGAATGTGCTCCAAAGATTGTTTGTTCGAAGACTGAAGATGCCACCTACTTTTAGTAAATGTTTTTCCCACTCTCTCGCTTTACTTCTTGATCCCTGTTTATGTAAACCCCTGTATAAACAGCATATTCCTTCCACTTGGATTCATGAAAAGTGGTATCAAAGTGGTTCTTATCAGACTTGGTAAGTTACCAACACCTTAATTTGGTCAGTTATGTTGGTTTTCAATTTTAAACTAATAATTATTATTCCTCGTTTGATTTATATTATAGTACACGCTTGTCAGATCATAACCCGTGGATAGTGAGCGAAATCTCATTGAACCAAACAATTCGTGTTGTCGTAGAAATGTTTGTGTAACACTTTTCACGGACGTGAAAAGCACTGTGCGGTGTGCATGGATGAAAATCTGGTGATCTCAGTGTGCTTCTGGTCATTAGATTTATAGTCGGGATTCAAAAGTTATGTTCAAACTTCCAACAGAAAAAACGAATATCTACGCAGAATAAGGTGAAAATAAACAGGATGTCTACAAAACACGAATCGAATTTTTTTATTTCTGATTGATTAGTCACGAGAAGACAAGTTAACAAACAAGCTTGTTTTAGGTGCTACATCAGCTGTGTAAGACAATGCTATTCTAACTTTTTAAACTGCACCATCCACCTCCTTAATGCGCCCCCCCCCCTTGTGCGCCCAGGAACAGTTTGTCAGAACACTGATCTTGCCATAGCCATCCACGAACAATCCACTCATACACTGTCACCCATTCAACCACTCACCTTTCCACAACAGCCCTCTGACATCCACTACCCACACACACACACACACACACACACACACTCACAAACACCAACTATCACAATTCCATCGCCTCTTTTTTAAACTCCGATTTCCTTCGCAGATATGTGTGCGTCTCTCTCTCTCTACTCACCGCTCGTTTATTATCTATGATAAATTGTGCTTTTATTTATCCAGTTGATATAGCAC